AACCAGGCCCCTGCCTCAAAAGCTAGGAGTCAAGAATAGCTTCAGATTCTACCTCATGGTGGTGGGTGGGTAGAAGGCTCAGTCCAGGCWGACTTCCTGGAGGAGTAGGTCTAGATGTGGTCCCACTGGGACAGACAGCAGAGAGACTAGGGAAGACGGAGGAGAGGAGGGTGGGGCATCCAGGCAAATCTTAGACAAGCCTCCGGTTGTGTCGAAACCGAGTTGTAATTGGCTTAAGCAGTGGCTTCCCATGTCTGAAAAGTCCAAGGGAGGGYTTCAGGCACAGTGGGGTCCAGAAGCTCAGGTGGTTTTGCTTGTTGAGAATCACGTCCCACCGTCTCCTGGCTGTTTCCTCCAGGTCCCAACAGCTTCTCTAGACTCACTGGGCTGGAAGGTGGAACCTGTGGGGAACCCCAGACCATCTTGGCTTTGGGACATGTGATACCCMGAGATTTCTTCCCTGGAGTTCACTGATGCCTGCCAGCCCCAGGGGTTCTGGGTGAGGTGTCAGTCTGGCAGTGGGGGAAGGGACAGGATGGGATGCTGTTGGGGCTGAGGCTTGAAAAATGACAAGGACCTGTACACACAGATTGTCCCACCAGCTTCTGGCCCCACCCCACCAGTCCCTTCCCCAGCTCCAGACCCCTGCCCACCCCCACTCCTCCACTCCCGGGGCTGAGTCCTGGTGGGGGCCAGAGGGGAGGGGGTTCCTTACCAGATGGAAACAGGAGCGAGGTCTCACCCCCACCAGGAACCCAGAGACCCCCTGAAGGGACCTGTTCTCTCCTGGGAACTCCAGAGCCTTCAGGTTCCTGGCGCGGGCGCCCCTGGCGGCCACTTCCTCCAACAACTCSACCCTCTTTAACTTGGGAGACCCTGCGCTGGGTGGTCCCCCCACCGCCGCCCTTCTGGGTGGGGCCCGCTAGCGGTAATGCTCTCGCAGGACCGCAGGTGGCGCCACCAGCCCGCTCTCAGCAGGTCACTGGGGGCGTCTCCACCGTGGACCCTGGGCACTTCTTAAGGATGAGCGTCCTCCTGCCCGGCCCTCCTCTCTGCGGGGACTGCGCTACCCTCGCCACCGCCTCAAAAGCCACCMCACCCACAACCTGACCTTCTCCCTGCCGGGTCCCCTGAGTTCATTGACATCACTGACAAGCCCAGTGGTGGCTTGGGCTTCATCTGGACAACAGGCAACACAAATTTCTCCGCCCCAAACCCACGTAGCTGAGTTCCCCCCTCGGTTAACCTGTCGCGCGGTTTTGTTGGTGGTTGCATTTGTGCATTTTTTGTTGGTGGTTGGGTTTTGCCGTGCAAGGGATGAGCCCAGGGCCTTGTGCATGCTAGGCAAGCTCTGCCCCCACTTCATCGCCAGGCTTCGGGCTCCTATTTAAAAGAAAAAAAATGTTTGCTCCTCCCTGGCCTGGTGGCGCGCCTGTAATCCGGGCGAGGAGGCTGAAGCAGGAGGATCGCCAGCCTCAAASAGGGCTGGGGTGTGGCTCAGAGGTTAGGCGCCCCTGGATTGAGTCCCCAGTAACGTTTATTAAGAGGCAGGGGCGGAGGATGTTCATTAAAGAAGAAAAAGGAAACTCTGGAAAAAATAAGTAGAACCCTGGGACACCCCGCCCACAGGACTTGGCAGGGGCTTGTTGGATGAAGGCCAGTGTGGACGGTGGAAGGCTCCGCCCACTGGTTCCCACAAAGGCTACTGCAGGGCTTCCGGCCCGGGGCCGCTGGGCGCAGGGGCCTCCCCGAGTGGTGGCGCCTGCCCAGGCCGGGGCTCYATTTCCTTCCATTCTCCGCACCCCGCTTTGCCTTACGCCTTCCGAGTTCCTGGCGTTTCCTTACCACACTTCCCAAGGGTGAAATCAGCCTGTCAAAGGTCACACGACTTTATGTTCTCCCTAACACTCAGGGCTTAAGTGAGTGCGCCCAGCCCTGTCCTAAGCGCTCTCACGCACAGCCTGACTGCACCTTTGTCATAACCCAGCAAAATAGGCACTGCCATGTCATGTCCATGCTGCAGGTGGAGGCACAGAGAGGTTGAGTAACCTGCACATGCCWCACAGCTGGGATTCAAAGTCAGGACCCAGGTCTCAAGTGCAAAGTCCTCATATCTGATGCTGCCATCAGGTGGGCACCATCCTAACAGCCAAGTGAGGCCCATTGCGCAGTGCGGTGTTTGATTTCTTCAGCCATTACCCTGGAGCCCTTCAATATATATATAAATTTTTAGTTGTAGATGAACACAATGTTTTTATTTTTATGTGGTGCTGAGGACCGAACCCAGGGCCTCACACGTGCTAGGCAAGTGCTCTGCCACTGAGCCACAACCCCAGCCCCCTTCCAACATTTAATACCACCGTCCGGCATATCCAGACTTGACAGTGCCTGAAGTTTTCCAAGACTCAAGACAGTTCTATTTAGGAGAGATAATACCATGTAGGAGATTCAAAAGGAGCAGGACCTTGAATGGGACTGTGAAGTGAGTGCCCAGAGGCCTTAGCTGCATCACAGCCTTACAGAAGATCCCAGGGTTTCCCCGGGAAGACTACTGGGGACTTTAAAAGTTTTGGGTGGTAATGGGGATTATCCCCATTGACGCTCTACCACTGGGCCACACCTTCTACCCATTTTATTTTTTGAGACAGTCTAAGTGGCCATGGCTGGCCTTGAACTTGTGATACTTCAGACTGTGTCATAAGTAGCTGGGATCTAGGGATGCATCCAAGGAAAATTTTTCAAATAGCAGAGTTGAGAGAATTTCCTGAGAACACCCTCTGTCCAGCAACTGGGCTCCTGATCCCCTTGTTAATACTTGCTCCCTGTCCTGTCCACAGCTGTCCAGCCTGGCCACCCGTTCGTCCACCTCATTGTCTGATGCGTGTCAAAGGAAGCTGCAGACCCAGGGGCATTACAGTCCCAAGGTCATCAACAGCGGCCTGTCCTCCCAGCTCTTGGGTTGATGCAGAATCCAGATGGGTGAAGTGCACGTACGTGCGCCTCTGCTACAGAGGCACTTCCCCCGGCAGTTATACGGCAAGGCTTCCTGAGGACACTGCGTGTCCAGGCCGCAGGACTCCTTGAGTGTCTGTGGCCACCCCCACAGCACCTCCTCTGGCCAGAGGCTTCCTCCCCTTCCTGGAGGCTCATTCCCATGTGCACTTCCAGGTGAGAGGCTGCAATCCACCCCCAGCAGGGCCTGGAGGCTCTCCCTTCCTTCTGTGTGCTGCTGGGCGAGGGCTTGACCAGGAGAGTACCCTAGGCCCCAAAGGCTTTCATTGTCACTTCCACCCTCTACCCTGCCACCTGTCCCACCTCACTCAAACACAGAGCTGTTTTCTTATCTATAAAACACTTTTTTATACTTTTTTTTTTTAAGGTACAGATGGACACAATATCTTTTTTTTTTTAAATATTTATTTATTTATTTATTTAAGTTTTCGGCGGACACAACATCTTTGTTGGTATGTGGTGCTGAGGATCGAACCCGGGCCGCACGCATGCCAGGCGAGCGCGCTACCGCTTGAGCCACATCCCCAGCCCTGGACACAATATCTTTATTTATTTATTTTTCTCCGGTGCTGAGGATGGAACCCGGTGCCTCACACGTGCTAGGCAAACGCTCTGCCACTGAGCCACAGCCCTGGCCTCATAGAACATTCCTCTTTATTGAAAATGGGAGAGGGGGAGGAACAGCAGAAATAGTCCCTTAAACTCACCATACTCTGTGGTATGTGGTAGAGGAAGGGGGAAGCCCTGCCTTCTTTCACCTCATCCATTTCTTTTATAAATTGCTTGTTCTTTTTTATAAATATCTTGTCCTGGAGAAACCTTCTCAAAGACCGTAATAGAACAGGGAAAGACTAACAAAAAACACTAAACACTTCTGCTTGACAAAAGACACTACATACAAAGGAGGAAAAGCAGCCTGGGAGGAATGTTTGTAACATGTATGATACTGTTTAGATCCACCACAAATAGTTACTTCAAATAAACAAATGCAAACATCCCTGGAGGAAAATGGTCAAAAGGTCTGAACCAGCACAGAGGAGGAAATACAGATGGCCAGTGATCGTGAAGAAACACTCAACTTCGTTGATACCAGGCACAGCAAAGTCACACCGTAGGAAAACTGCCAGGATACAGATGGGCTCTGTGCTGCTGGAGAGCAGAACTCCGGCCCAGCCTATCTGGAGAGCACTCGAGCCAAACTGAACAACCTGTGGCCTACACACAGCAGCCCAGAGGTCCACTTCCAGGTGGTCATCCTACCGCACAGAGAAAGGGCAGGACACCAAGGCTTACCCCAGCATCACAAGGAGCAGTGACACGGCCCAGCACATGTGAGCACCTCACAGGAGGGGATTCCACGCAGTTGTGAGAAAGGACAAGGACACCCTGCCATGTCCAGACACTGACAGGCCCCCAGATGCACAGTGAGTTGGGGACACTTCCTGGAAACCGAAAAGTCATGTGCAGGTGACTAAATGAAACCCCAGCGAGCAGAATCTCCAGGCAGTGCAGCAGCAGGCACTCCAAGGAGAGTGGCAGGCAGAGGCCAGGTGACAGCCGCATTGTGACCGTGACTTAGAAACACAGAGTAGTTTGTCCTGCAGAATGCAGGGTGTAAACATCTCTCACAATAGGAGCAGGGGTTGCACGATGTCACATGCCTGTGACCCAGTGACTCCAGACTCGGAGGCAGGACACTTTTGTGGAACTATTTTTAGGATTTTTCTTGGGGTGTGCACAGGGATCGAACCCAGGGTGCCTGACCACTGAGCATGCCTTTCCTGAGCACCACGGTGTCTGGCTGGCTCTGTAGGGAGAGCAGCAGTTGCAGGCGGCAGCTGGGTCACCTGGACCCGGCCACACCCGGCTGGACGTGATCACACCTGCCCTGCTGCCCGCCGCCCTGGTCTCCCTCCTCCACCCCGCATACCTTTCATCAGTGCCTCACACACAGCATGTGTCCTCCACTCTGCCTCCCTCCCGTCCCTCCCCACTCCACCTCACTGACCACCCGTTTGCTTTGCCTCCACGTGAGAAGACATCTGGCCCTTGACTTGGCACTGTCCTGGCAAATGCCAGTTTCATTCTTCATGGCTGAGCAATACTCTACTGTGTACATGCACACATCCCCTTGATCCACTCATCTACCGACAGCTACCTGGGTTGGCTCCATAATTTAGCTGCTGTGATGTGTCCATCTCTTCACCTATGAAATGGAAATGCTTGTAGTCCCTTAACCAGCAGCAGTGACGCTTCACTATGTGAATCTACCTGTTCAAGAACAGCGCAGAGCCCATCAGCTCAGGAGGCTGAGACAGGAGGATCGAGAGTTCAAAGCCAGCCTCAGCAAGAGCCAGACGCGAAGCAACTAACTGAGACCATAAATACAAAAATTGGGTTGGGGATGTGGCTCAGTGGTCAAGTGCCCCTGAGTTCAATCCCTGGTACCACCTTCCCCGCAAGAGCACAGGGGCTCAGCCTCCCCCTCCACAACAGCAGCTGAGCACCTCAGAGCACAGGCCCTAGCTCAGCACAGCAGGAGTGGCCACCCGCAGTGCCAGCCAGACCTGCAGCTTAGCCTGCCCCTTACCTCCCACCTCCAGTTTTCTCTGGTGCTGGGCTTGTGTCTGCCACCAGCCACATGTGGCGGTCTGTCTGAGGCTTCGCATGTTCTCCAATGGCTGATGGCCTGACAGAGTCTGGGTCTGCACCAGGCTTTGGTGGAAATTAACACTAGGGACCCAACCCCCGTGCATGGGGGTGGGGGTAGAAGATGTACAGAGACTGCAGGGAGGGGAGCTCAGTGGCGGAGGAAAGCCATGCAGCCCTGGGGCGGTTGGAGAGGCTTTATTTTCTTCACGACTGGGGCCTGAACCTGCTTTACCACTGAGCAGCATCCCCAGCTCTTTATTTTTTTGAGACAGTCTTGCTAAGTTGCTGAGGCTGGCTTAGAACTTGAGATCCTCCTGCTCAGCCTCCTGAGCCACTGGGATCACAGACAGGTGGGCACGTGTGGCTCAGAGGTGCTTCACTGAGGAGCAGGGCGCTGGCATCAGCCGCTATAACCTGCAGACAGAGGAGAGAGGCTGAGGGAAGGTGGGGGGGTCCCACATCCTTGCCCACTCAATGCACCTTTGGCGACCCACACGCCCACACTCGGAGTTCAGATGCTGGGCTGATCCTCTTTCAGGCCTGGCCAAGGGAGTCTGAGTTTGGCAAGGGCCCTGGGACTGGCAAATGCCCCAGGAAGAAAGGCCCCTTTGGGTTCAAGTAAATGAAAACTGTTTCCATCCCAGCCAGAACCCAACCTGTCCCCTCCCCCGGGAAAAGGAGCCACTCACTGGATCTCGCGGAACGCCCGCTTCTCCACCAGCTTCACTTTGTACTTGCGCTTGAACCTGGAGAAAGGATGGGGACATTAGGGAAGATGAGGGACCTGCAACCTCACCACGCTCAGGGTCCCACCCCCTGCCCCAGCAGCTGAGCCCATACTTGGCCCGCTCCCGAGGCTCGATCATGTTCCTCCTCTGGAAGCTCTTGAAGCGGTCACGCAGGATGTGGCCCTCGGGCTACAGGAAGAGAGGGAGCCTCAGCAGGAGGCAGACCTCCACGGCTCGAAGGCAGGGCCAGCCAAAGGCCAGGCACTGCACCTGGCCCCATGGTGGGTCTGGGTCAGCAGGAAGGGGCTGGAGGGGAAGTGGAAGAGGAAACACCAGTCCCAGGAAACAATGGGGCAAAGGCCGGGCCAGAGAGAAGGTGTCACTAAGGCAGCCCCCCTAGCTGCAGCCCCAAGGCCAGGCCAGGCCAGGCCTCCTAGGGCTCCTGGCTTAAGGAGGGGCCAGGCAGGTTTGGAGCAGGGGAGGGACAGGGTCTGTCTTGAGCTTCAGGAAGACCCCACAGGACTGAAGAGGATGAGGGGATCCAACAAGAACCAGGCTGGACCAAAAGACTCTGAGAGTCATTGGCCCAGGCGTCACCTGCTCCCCTCAGAAGCTCGTGCCCTCAGCCCCCAGGCAACGGCCCAGCCGGCCCAGCCCAAGGGCAGCCAAGGTGTCGCCCATAGCCCCTGGGGGCACGGGGAGCAAGGATGGTGTCATCATCGGGCACGGGCTCCAGAGCATCACGCTGGCCGTGGGCAGGTACCTTGAGGGTCCTGAGTGAGCCGGACAGTTCATCGCTGAGCTGCACGTCAATGTCAGGAGCCTGGTACCTGAGAACGTGGGAATGCAGGGCACAGAGGGGTTAACACTCCAGCACGCCCAGAAACCCCAGTCCAAAGCCTCCTGGGGCGATCGGGCCTCAGGGGACACAGTATGGAGGGATGGCAGTCTCCCAGGTGTTCCTGTGCCAGAGCGTCCCAACCCCCCAAAGCCAAGCCTGGGCCTCACTTGAGCCGCCCCAGCCTGCGGGGCTTGTCCGCCTCAGCCAGCCGCCGAATCCGCCGCTGCTCCCGTCGCCTTGCCAGCTCTGCCAGCCGCTGGGCCACCTGTGCCTTGATCCCACGCAGCCTGAAGAGCTCCTGGTGCCTGAGCCGGGCAGCTCGCAGTGCCACCTGCTGCACCCTCTGAGGGTGGGGGGAGGGGTCAGACTCACCACGTGCCCCACCAGGCCCTCCAAGCCCACGGCCCAGCCTCTCCTGTCGCCTCCATGCCCCTCAGTGTCCCTCACTAGTTGTGCTCCGGAATCACCTCCAACGTCGTCTCTGGCCCTCAGTCTCCGCCATGAGCCCAGGCAGGGGCTGCACCCTGCTCGCTGCCCTGCTGCCCCTCCCCAGGGTGGCTGGAGGGTCCCAGCTGAGATAGTGGGTGAGGCCCCAGACAGCAGAACCTGCAGGCCCAGGGCAGAGGAGGGGAGGCCAGGGCGGGAAAGCAGAGGAGTCCAGGAGGGCAGGGGCAGGGCTCACCAGCCTCCGCGCGGCCTTCTCCCGCCGCCGCTGCTGCTCTGTTTTCTTCTCCACGGAGGGCAGGCGGCCAGGTGCCTGCGAGGTCTCGGTGCCTCCGGCCTCCGGCTCCTCACCCGTGTCCTGCTCGGCCTCCCCGTCAGACTCCTCCAGCAGCCCCTCGCACAGCTCCCGGAAGGTGGACGCCTGGGGAGGGGGCCAGGTCAGGAGCTGCGCAGGGGGCAGGATGGGGGCGGGGCGGGCTGCGCTCACCTGGGTGGCCACCTGCTCTGTGGCGGGCAGGGCCAGCCTGCGCTCCAGCTTTCCAGCCTCTTTCTCACGCTGCAGCTCCACTTCATGGGCAGCCAAGAGCAGGGCCTGGAGAGAGACATGAGGACCCAGGGCTCCTACAAGTCCCAAGCCCTGCTCCAGCCCCGCCCCATGCTCAGGCCTCTGCCACTCCAGAGGGGCTCTAACCGACCCTCCCACCTGCCCTGTCCCTTCTGCAGCTGCTACACACTAGAATTTCACCAAAATAAAATGTCCACAATAAACAGGCTCCTGGGCCAGGAAGAGTAGGGATGTCTGAGTCTAGAGGAGGTGGGGACACGGTGGCAACAGCAAATGGGCGATCAGCTTCTTGCAGGGGTGATGGATGCATGCTCCCCCCACCCCCCCACACACGCATTTTCCTGGGGACGTCCTCTCCTCGGGTTGGCGGAGAGGCTGCCTGACAACTGGACACCTCCCAGCACGGGTTCTGTACCTGGAGCAGTGACCTTGAGCTCTCTAACACCCTGTCCCTGAGAGGTGCCCCTCCAGGGAGCACGAAAGGGGCTTTGTCACCTTGGCTCACAATATCTGTGCTCCAACAAATGACTGGGAAGTGAACCTGAACTCAGGCAGATCTCCCCACTGCCACGCTGCCCGTCTTTGGATCTGAAGCCTTGGCATCTACGTCAAGGACTTCCCTCCTGAAAGGTGCTGGGTCCCCACCTCGGGCCTCTGCACACACTGTTCCTTCTGCCTGGAAAGCCTACGCCCCTCCTCAGCCTTCTCAGCGCAGACACCCCCCTCCAGGCTGCCCCGGCTGGGCAAGGGCCACACTCCCAGCCCCAGCCACCCTGGTCTCTGATGTCTAGGAACAGACCTCAGAGGGCTCTCGGTCTCATCCAAGTCCCCAGTGCCACCCAGAACAGGGCTGGCACGGCAAAGTGACCGAGTAGCAGAGCTGGACCTAGAAGGGCCGGGCTGGGGCCTGCACCCACCTGGTGGTCCTCGAAGGTCGGGTTGTAGGAGGCTCCTGCAGGTGTCACCTCCACAGCAGGTGCCGGGGAGGGTTTGATGTGGAGACGAGGTGGTCGCTGAAGGAAGGTAAGGCCAAGGCAGGCTGAGGCCTGAAGGTGTCCCTCAAAACTCACACTGAAGCCTAACTGCCCATGTAATGACATGAGGTGGCAGGGCCTCCAGGAGGTGAGCCAGTCCCAGAGTGACTCCTCCTAGAGGGGCTTCACCAGCGTCCCCCCTTCACCTTCCGCCTCCCGGGGCGAAGACTAGGCTTCAAGATTCCCACGAGGCAGAGACCAGCCCCTGCCAGAAACCAGACCTGCTGCCGCCTCCGTCCTGGGCTCTCAGCCTCTACACTGCGAGCAATAAACCTCTATCCCTTGTTCATCTCCCAGCCTCCAGGGTTCTGTCACAGCAGCACAAATGGACCAGACAGCCCGGGAGGCCTGGCATTTGCAACCTCACGACCCAAAGTGCTGGGCCCCAGGCCCAGGAGGGCAGGGCTGCAGCTGCCTGGCTACGCGGCCTGTGGGACCCAGCATCCCTCCAGTGGCAGACAGATGTCCTGCGGGCAGTGGAGCTGCCCACAGGCAGGATTGTCAGCTCTCCAAGTGACAGGCCACATGGTGTCGTCCCCTGGGGTGGGAGTGCTTAGTGGCATCACTACACCTCCAGCTGTGCCACAGAGGCTTGAGCGCCCCCCTCCGGCAGAGCAAGGCACAATGGAAAAATGCTTTCTAGAGTCTTGTTGCTCAGTGTGGCCAGAGAACCCCCAGGGGAGCCCGGAGCTCGTAGGGAATGTGAGCCACCAGGACCTGCGTTTTCACAAGGCCACATGTGATTCAAGTGCCCCCTGCACTCTCCAGGAGTGCTTGCTCCTCCTCTCTATTAGGTCTGTGTCCCAGCAAAGGACACTGGTCACAAGAAAAGGGGTCACGTGGATGCCATGCGAGCTCTCTACACCCAGCCCCTGTGAACCTGCTGCTTCTGTCCTGGTCCCCACCAGCCCACACTGGCTCAGGAACCACCGAATAACTTTGGCTCTGGGTGAACCTGGCCCCTCGCGCTCGCCCGGTGCCTGCACTGCTCTGCGTCCTGCAGGAAACCCTCTGGTGGCCTCCCCAACCCCAGTCACAACAACCCCGCCACCTGGCCTGCAGCCCCCCGCTGCACTGGCCTCCTCCAGGCTCTTGCACAGTGCCTGTCCTGCCTGGTGGCCTGCGCACCTGCTGGCCAGTAGTCTCTGCCGGCGCCGCCCGCCTCCGCATCCCTAAGCCGCTGGCACTGTTCCAGCAAGGTTTCCCGACTCCAACCTGTTGCCTGACCTCCCACCCCTCCCAGGTCTTGGTGCCATGGGCAGCCCACGCACAGAGATACCACCCGGGAGGAGGGTGCCACACCCTCAGCCTCTACAGGCTCCTGTGCCTGCGCTGCTGCGCCCAGCAGGAAGCCGACACCTGTCACCTGAATGAAGCTGGACCCCTAGATTTAGTTCCTGGCTCCTAATACTCAGCATCTCCTTCTCCAGTATAGATGGCCACAAAATAATAATGCCCAGCGTGCTGGCCACAGTGGCTCCACGTCACCTCTAAGTTCCCCAACTGCCCCGTGAACTAAGCCCGTCTGCTGTCTGCAGGTGAGAAAGGACGAGGCACATCAGCCAGGAGCCTGGTCACCTGGACGGCAGGCACTGAGGCTGAGACAGAGACTGCCACCAGGAAGCAGAGGGCTCCTGCCACTCCCACCCTGCCCCCGCCCCCAGCCGCCTTCCCCTCCTCACCCTCACTCCCTTCTTCTTGGTCTGCTCCAGGAAGAAGGCGTCCTGGCCCTCCAGCGGCTTGTCCAGAGGGTCTGCAGAGACAGCGAGCAGCTCTGGGGCTTCTGGCATGGGGACCCCCAGGGCCTCCCTCCACCCCCTCCTCATTTCCAAACATGGCTCTGAGGCTCAGCTGAGGAAAAGAGATTCACAAACACCAAGCCAGCCCACCGCCAGACCGGGTTCAGGCAATGACCCTAACCCCAGGCTGAGGCGCGAGACCCCACAACTGCCGCAAGGGGAGCACAGGGGAGAGGGTACCACTTCAGGGTGCTCAGCTCTGCTGAGGCAGCCCTTGGACGCAGTGCTCCCATGCAGCACGCAAACCACACAACTGTCCATGTCAGTCCCAGCCCTGTTAGCAGGTGACACAGAGAACACTCACTGTCCGGGGCCCAGAGGTCATAGAAGGGCCGCTGGATGGTGTCCTCGGGCCCAGGCTTGGTCTTGGCCACAGGAGGGTTGAGAAGCCGGGCCTGGGCCCTGCGCACATCCCGGGGCAGCTCGCCCTGCTTTGCCAGCTTCTCCCATAGCTGCTCCTTCCGCCGGAGTTTCTTGGCATTGGGGACCTGGTGAGCGAGGATGCTACAGGGGCAGGAAGCAGCAGAGGGCAGCAGGTTGGAGAGGCTCCTGCCACCCAGGCAGCCCCTGCCCGGCCCTCCCCAGAGGCACTTCACCTCCCGCCCTTCAGAGGCCTCTTCCCAGCCATGCTCCTGAGCTTGACCCAACAACGCAACAACCCTGCCCTGGACGTCCCCTGGCACCTCACACCTGCCAGGTTAAAACTCACCTTGACATCACCTGTCCCCTCTGCAATGCTGCCTGACCTGCCCCTAGCCAAGCTCCCAGACTCGCCCCCAGCCCTGTCCCCTAGCCAGGTCCAGACTGCTCCCCACGGCATGCCCCCAGCAACCTAGCCAGCCTCCTTCTCCAGTCCCCTAAAACCCAAGTCTGACCCTAACCAACTTCCCCAACACTCCACCCCCAGGAAGTCCCTCAAGGCCAGTCTCTAGCAGAAGGATGGAACTAAGTGTTGGTAGAACACTCACTCTTTGGGGGCAGGGATCTTGGATGTGTTCTCAAGGACAAGGTCTACCCGCAGGGGTTTCTGGAGGAGCAGCGATTTCTTCTGGACCCGAGTCTTCTTCCTTTTCCGCTCTGGAGTGGAAGAAAAAGGGATGGAGGCCTCAGACTCCCCCACTACCCAAGACCAGCCTCCCCAACCCCATTTCAGCTCCATAGGAGCCACAGGCTTGCAACCCACACTATCCCAGGGCACACCCAGAGGACCCCAGACTCCCAGGCAAGGGAAGAGCCCCCAAAGATAGGGCCCAGAGTGGCCAAGTCCTGACCCTCACTATACCCACATCCTGGGCCAGCCTAGGCAGGTTGGGGACACAGGAGGAGTCACATCCACTGCCCCACACTGAGAGGCTCCAGGTGCAGCCAGAAAAGGGCCACAGAACTAAAGAGAGCAGTCAGGTGACACTGAGGTGTAGGGAGCACCCAAAGGCGTACTCAGGACCCAGTACGGCCCTGCAGTGTCCTCTGCTGTTTCCTTCAAAGGCCAACCAGCAAAAGTAAGACTAAAGCAAAACATAGCAGGCACTGCACCTTTCACAACCCCTGAGGCTACAGAGAGGGGCTCCTCCCCTGGGCTTCCTCAGTGAGGACCCCACTGTGTGCCATAGCAACGTGCTCATTACAGAAGCACAACAGGGATCCCTGGGTGCTCACGGCACTACCATCTTCTCTGTCTTTTTTGTGGTTCTGGGGATGAAGCCCAGGGCCTCACACGTGCCAGGCAAGTGCTCTGCCTGAGCTCCAGCTCCAGCCTCTGTGTACGTCTTCTCTGCTTCCTAAAGGTTTCCTGCTCACCACAACAGGCCCTTAGGCCCCTGATGACCATCCCATCCTCGGACTGATGACCCCACCTCTGTAAAAGTGACTCTGTAAACAACCACCTTCATCTGCTCATTCAAAGCCCCTGTGTTTCAAAGCAGCTCCTTTCATTATCTTTTGCTCACTCGAAAGGGTCCTGTTTCCATTGAATAGACTCTTGACCTCTCACGAGTTCACTGGGGACATCATGCTGTTAAAGTAGCTTTCTCCCTTGCTCAGGAAAACTAACTGCCCTCCTAAAGAAGACCCCTCATTAAAGCAGGTCACGTATTTTTTTCATTTCCCTTTTAAAAAAAAACTTATTTACTTGTTCTAACTTTTCATACATAGCAGCAGAATGCATTTCAATTCATTGTACACACAGAGCACAATTTTTCATTTCTCCAGTTGTACACAACATGTACTTAGGATAGTGATGTCCATTTCATTCCACCATCTTTCCTACCAGGCCACATATAAAAATTTGTTTTTCTACATAACTGATGTAATCCCTATTAATCATCAAAGCAATCCCAATCCACTCTCAGTCCACTTGTTAGAGCAGGTCCCAACCACGATGATTGCTGGCAAATTAAAGTAAGCATGTTACCTAATGTTTAAAATACATCTTTTTGTTCTTACAAAACCTCATCTTACTAACTAAAACAGACCTCTTTTTCTTTTTTTTTTGGTTCCGGGGAACTGAACCCAGGGGTGCTTAACCACTGAGTCACACCTAGCCCCCCCCCTTTTAATTAAAAAAAAAAAAAAAATTCAAGACAGCATCTCAAGTTGCTTAAGGCTTCGTTAAATTGCTGAGTTTGGCTGTGAATTTGTGATTCTCCTGCCTCAGCCTCCCAAGTTGCTGGGATTACAGGCATGTGTCACTGGCTCCAGCTCAGATCTGATTTAAAGTAGGCAGCATGGGGCTGGGGATGTGGCTCAAGCGGTAGGGAGCTCGCCTGGCATGCGTGCGGCCCGGGTTCGATCCTCAGCACCACATACCAACAAAGATGTTGTGTCCGCCGAGAACTAAAAAATAAATATTAAAAATTCTCTCTCTCTCCTCTTTCACTCTCTCTTTTAAAAAAATAAATAAATAAACCACTGAACAAAATTCCCAGTTCTATTTTTAAAAAATAAATAAATAAAGTAGGCAGCATGACTGACTTTTCTGCAGCTAACAGAAGACAACTTATCAAAGCAAACTCAGAACAATGATAGCAAAGAAAGGAAAGGAAAGAAAGAAAAAGCTTTTTACAAAGCTGGGATGGAACCATCAGGATAGTGCTGGAACACTGGGCTACATACATCCTCAGCCTCCCCCACATTGTCTTCATTTCACCCGTCCAAAATGCTCTCGTTCAAGTTGAAATCTGAGCAGGTGTTTGCCTTCACACAGATCTTCTCAGAAGCTCGAGGCCACATAACAGTCAAGGGTAGTCCTGCTGCACAAATGCCCACCTCACCTTTCTCCTTGGAACCAGTGTCCACGAAGAACAGTTTTTCATCAGGGGCCTCTGACACTAAGCCACTGGGGGACAGAAATGCAGACCATCAGTCAAAGTTGTGAGGAAGAGAACAGCTTTAAAATCGCGGGGTTCAGCATCCTCATTCAAGCCTCCTCTTCCCGCCATGGGGCTCTTTGGGCCTCGCCCCTCCGTTTCCAGAGCCTGATATTTAAAATGCACCAAGCTAGGGTGGGTACATGGGACCTACTTCTACTAAAAAGTTAATTACTGCTCACTAAATTCGAATTTAATTGGGGGTCCTGTATTCTTACGAAATTTGGTAACTTGCGCGCTGCCTGGGGCAGGTTCCCCAGCGCCCCCCGGAAGCCGCCCAAGGACACTCGGCTTCGCACTGGGCCCAGCTCCCGGAAGTTCCGCCCCACGTACCCGGTCGTGCGCTCCTGTAGCCGCACGTCCTCCAGGAACTGATCAACTTCCAGCCCCAGCGGCTCCTGAGCGAGTCGCCGCCAGCCCCGCTTCTTATTTCTTGGGCCCCGCCGTCGCCGCCTCAGCGCCGGGTCCACCGACGTGGGTCGCAGGCCCAGGAAGCCAGAATCAGCATTGCTTTTCGAGCAGCGTCTGGCACCATCGCCATTGCTTCCTGCCGCCATCTTGTTAAAGGAAGTACTCAGTCGCGGATGCCCAGAAATCCGCGCGCGCAGCTCTCCCGGCCTCTCCTATCACGCACTTCCTGTGACAGCCATCTTGGTAAAGCGGTAGGGGAGAGAAAGGGGCGTGGATCCTGCCATCTTGGTACAGGATAAATGGCTCTTTTCTCCTCCAGTGTTTGCAATAAAATCTGCCGATTCCTAGTTGCGGGAAGGGGGTTATAGGTTCTTGGCCCTTGTCCTAAGCAAAACATCTTTTTCCCGACCGCCCAGGGTCTGATGATGATTGTAATGTTTTTGGTAATAGAGACGGAACACGGGGAACTTAACAACTGAGCTACATCACCAGCTCTTTTTATTTTTTAAAATTTTGAGACACCGTCTCACTGAGTTTCTTAAGGCTGGTTTTGAACTTGAGCCATCTTCCTGCCTCAGCCTCCAGAGCTGCTGGGAAGTGAGGATGGCCTTAGGCCTGAGCCAAAGCAACTCCATTTTAAAACCTGCAGTCTCTTCAGGCACGCCTAATGGAGCCCTCCAGTATAGCCCTCAGGCACAAACAGTCACTTCGCCTCACCCTGATAAACTCAGAGTCTAGACTCTGGCTGGCTGTCCTCTGCTGATAAGAGGGAAAGGCGAAAAGATCAGGGTGGAGACCACCAGACTAGATGTTTTAACCCCAGGGTAAATGATGTCACTGAGAGACCTGGTGCCAACTGATAAGGATTGAAAGGGCTGTCCAAAACCCCAAAATTTGATATAAATATTGGAGCAAATGAGCAGACATTCAGCCAACTGACAATGATGCCCTCATGCTGAGAGCTTGATGAGGACCTGGATTGACATCCCAATACGTTTCCATTGCCTGATCCTCAACCAGCCATCAGCTTCACCGAAGAGAAGCCTGCTTTGGTTTCTGATCTGATCACCACAATTTGAGTGAGTGTGCATCTGCTGGACTTAGAGCCTAAGGCTTGAGACTTTAATTTAGCATTCGAAAGGAATGTCATGAGCCTGTCATGATTCAGTGTGTTTGTGGTGCTTATAATTAATCTAGAATTGCTTGCTGTGAATTGATTATTTCTTGCAGTGGCTAGCATTAAAGATGGTCATTTTCTTGATTAAGAACCTATAGAGTGAAATTATATTGAGTGATTTGAGTGAATAAAGCATTGACTAGGGCAGAAGCACATGGACATTATTTCTCCCCCTGGACTGCATAAATTGCACCTGTTGCCCCTTGAGACAGCAGATTATAGGTGTGTGCCACCACGTCTGGCTGATTTCAGAACTGACAGTAGCAGATTTAGCACAAGACACAGTGCAATCTCAGGTTTTGGCCTCTCAATGTTCCAATCCTAGAATCTTGAAAATCAAATATTTTTAGGATTGTCAAGGCTGGAAACACAGAACATTCAAGGAGTGTTCAAAATATACACTATCCGGATCCCTAGTTAACACGTGTAAGGCCCTAGGTTCAATCCCAAACCTTGCAAAAGAGGGATGGGGCGAGATCCCTAGAAGCACAGATTCAGGATCATTCATCATCCATAAAATGGGAACGATGATGATAGTAGATTATTCTAAAGATTACATAAAGCAAGGGCTGGGGATATAGCTCAGTTGGTAAAGTGCTTGCCTTGCATGCATAAGGCCCTGGTTCAATCCCCAGCACAACAAAAAAAAAAAAAAAAAGAGTAAAGCATTGAAGACTGTGCCTGATATCTGCGTTAGCTATCGCCCCTGAGACTTAATCTAATAATCAACTCATATTTGCTATTTACAAATAATAAAACAAGCTCAGAGGCCTTTGGGTCCTTGCAACCATCCAAAGGGAGCTACAGCTTCATAAAAGCCAGTCTTGCAGGGCGCTGTGGCACACGCTTGTAATCCTATTGGCTCTGGAGACTGAGGCAGGAGGACCGCGAATTCAAAGCCAGCATCAGCAATTTAGGGAGGCGCTAAGCAACTCAGTGAGACCCTGTCTCTTAAAAAAAACACAAAACTGGGCTGGGGATGTGGCTCAGTGATTAAGTGCCTCTGAGTTCAATAGCGGTACCAAAAAAAAAAAAAAAAGCCATTCTTGAGTCATAAATGAAAAAGACCCAGAGAGGTAAAGCGCGACTGGGTGGGGGGGTGTCACACAGTAGAACGCAACCAGATCCTTGCGCACAGTGTTTGGAAGGTGACAGGTCCTGAATGGTGGCCCCCAAACCTGAGCACGCACCGGCCGCCTCGGAAATCAAACTGCCCTGCTCCCGAGGCTCCGCCAGAGGGCGCCGAGGGCCACAAAACTGAGCGCGCGTGGGCGGGCGGAGCGCCGGGACAGCGTGTCCTGGGAGCGGCGGGTGTGGCCTGGGTGTGCGTCCGAGGACAGCACGGGGTGCGATGCCTGGCGCGGGCCGATCCCCAGGGCGTGAGCGCGCGCAGGGTGGTCCTTGGCAGCCTGCTCTCCGCAGGACCCCGCCCCTCCCTGGCGTTCCATGTCGCAGGCTGGGTACCCGAGTCGTGCCAGCCCAACTCCGCGGCCCGGGCAGGCGAGGGTCATGTTGTGCCCAAGCGCGCACTCACACAAGCCCAGGCCCGACGCTGGTTCCCAGGCCCCGCGGCGGGAGGCGGAGAGAGGGATGTCCCGGGGGGGCGGGCCCCAAAGTAACTTCTCTTCGGAAAATATGCAGGGCTGGCCCCCAGCCCGGGCCTGAGTCACCGAGCTCCGCTGCGCTGACTCACGGACCCTCCCGACCCCGCGAGCTACAAGGGCCTCCCCACCCCGAGTCTACCCAGGGCGCCGCTGCCCTGGAGGGGAGCGGGCCACCCCGCCCCGAGACAGCGCGACTCCGGCAGAGGAAGAAGCCTTGCCTTTATTCGCTCTACGGGGGACACTGTCTGGCTCTCGGCCCTCCCAGCGCGGGTGGGGCCGACGGTGGGCGCGCGCATCGTGGCCAGCCACCTGGAGGAGCGCCCTCTCCAGCTGTTTGGTTCTCCCGCGTCCTTTCCGCGGGGCTTCCCACCAGGGCCGAGCCCTGATGCGGAGGAGGCACGAGAGGGCGTGGGGGGCCCCTTGGGGAGGGAGGGGAGGACGGCTGTAGCACCAAGAAATCGCTCCCCACGATCCCTGAAAAGGGGCTGCAGGAAAGCCCCAGGCCTTTGCATCGTGGGGGCTACGTTGAAGTATGGACTGAGCCCGGTGCGGGGCAGAGACTGGAATGCTGCAGTCCTCAACCCCAGGAGCCTGCGGGGGCCAGGGCCCGGCTGGGCCTTTCAATCCAGGGCAGGTGGGCAGTGGACAGAGTACCTCCAGGGCGTACAGTCTGGGGGGAGCCGGACAGACCGACTGAAAGGGCTTTTCCATGTGCTGCAGGATCCTTATTAAAGAAATTTGGGGAATCAGAATTTCCGGGCTTTCCTGGGGACAGCAAGGGGCTGAAGAAGGGTCCATCTGAGGAAGCAGGGGTCGTGTCTCCTCTCTGAGCCCCCAGTGGTCCCAACACCTGAGGACACGATGTGGGGGAGGGTTCTTGCCTGGCTGGGCAGGAGGAATAGGGGCAGAAGGGAAAGTTTATCTGTCACTTGAACCCAGTGGTCTCTCACCAATGGAGAGGGACAAGGGGTCCTACCTGGAATCAATTATGTGTTTGTGTGGCTATGTATCTGCCCTCTCCTGAGGCTGTCAGCTCCATGAGGGCCGTGCAAGTAGTAGGTGCTCAATAAATATCTGAATGAATGTTGGGTAGATGGGTGCCTGCGTGCTTTCGTGTGAGGTGCCCAGGTGCATGTGAGGGTCGAGGTGGGAAGGGTGCAGAGAAGCCTTGCCACTCCCTTTGGACCCCACTAAATGCTTAGAGTGTCTGGCGGTGGGCGGAGGAAGCCCCCACTCCAGTCCTTGCAGCTGCGTAGGGTGCGCAGGTAGGATGCGTGCAGACAGGGCGGGGCCAGAGGGTTATGTGCGCGCAGCCGACTTGAGCTGGGGAGCCACAGCAGGGCAAGTGGGAGGGAGGGCCTGTGGGTGGTGGCGGGCTCACTCTGCCGAGCCCTTATGGCGCCGCTTGGAGGGTGGCACTAGACGACGAGGCAGGTTGGTGGGCAGCCCGTGGCCCTCGAGCTTGGCCTCGATGAGGTGGCTGGCCAGGGCGAACTCCTCGTCGTCAAGCATGCCGTCGCGGTCAACGTCGCTCAGCTTCCAGATGCGCCCCAGCACGGAGTTGGGCAGCTTGGTGCCCACCATCCAGGTCTTGGCCTTGGAGCCGCTCAGCTTGCCGTCGGCGGGTGCCAAGTTGTAGAAGATCTCGTCGTATTTGGACTTGTCCTTGGTCACCACCCATTCGGCCTCGTCGTCCGAGCCTTCCTCGCCGTCCTCCAGCGCCTCGTCAGGCCCCCGCTCTACGAATGGGCCCATGTGGGTGCCCTCGAAGGCGCCGCCCTGCACCCCGGCCTCCGTGCTCTCCAGCTCCTCCTGCCGCAGCAGTGGCATGAGCTTGGCGATGTCGTGCGTCAGCATTTCATCCAGTGCCTCCAGCAGCTTCGGCTTGAGCGAGTGGAACTTGGTGAAGTCATGTGCCATCAGCAGCTCCTGTAGTGGAGAGCAGGAACACTGAGAGGTCGGGGAGCCCTCTCTAGGCCCTTGGGGTGCAGGCCTGAGGACGCTTGGGAGCACTGAATACCAATAGCTGCAGAAGCTTTTGAATATCCAAACATCGCTTTCTGCTTGGGCACTCCCACCCCCCTTCCCTACCCAAGTCTAGCGGGCTGAAATGCAGACAAGGGCTGGAGGTTCTGCAGCTATTTCATATCATGAGGTTTCTTGGACCTGGCAGCAAGCATGGAAGAAAAGACAGAAAAGGACAAGGTTCTCAGCTCTATGAAGCACCAAACCAGCCCTGAACCAGAAGACACTTGAGCAAGAGAGTCCCCAGGGCCCTCGGATGAGTCAGAGCAGTGGCCCTTCACCAGATGGTGGAGGAGGAGTTCAATATTTTAGTGCACCTGCCAGCCCTGCCCACCTTCCACTCCACCCCGAGGAGTCGGGCCAGCACCCCACCATTT